CCAGTGAGATTATAACCCAGTGAAAATACATTCAACTCCTCAAAAATAATTAAAAATAAACTTCATACAAAATAGCCAAAATGTCTTCTCAGTGAAAACTAATTCTATTTCTAGGTAAAATTAAGTATTTTACAGTATGTTACAGGTAGTCTGGTCTTACCGTATGTATTATGTATGCTGATTTTCTTATAATATTTATAACATATCTTTATCGTTATTGACAAGTAGCATCATTTCAGTTGATTTACTCATTCAATATTCAACTTACAAGTATGTCCTTATTTTATAATGTCTCCACCTTCAAAGAAAGGTTTTTATGACAGTGTCATCTCTAACTCTTAAAACAAGCAGCGTTTTGTCTCTTTCTTTTCACTACCATCCTAAATTCTGGTTAATATTGATGATAGTATTTTCCACCTGACCTTTCAAATTTGATGCTTATTGCAATTTTATCGTGATGTCATGTTATGATAAATATCTGTAAGTGGGAAAGAACATTCCGGAAAAGGATAACACTTTACAGTATATTGCATTGATTCACTTATACTTCAGAATCTATTACTAAATTTATTTAGTCTACATACAGTCCAGTCATACCAATATGCAAAGTATAAGACAGTGCTCCATTATAAGTTCATCAACAATTGTTTTTTTGTTTTCTTCAGTTTTTTTAATGTATAAAGAAATGTTAATATTTTTTGTACCTGATTGACACCCAAATTGGGGGACATAAAAATATTAAAAAACTCACAGATTTGAATGCAATATAGCAGATTGATTGTCGTAATGGTAATGTGATGGTTGGACAGGTCATAATTTCAACACCAATAAGAGGTTGAATTGGTGCTTCGTGAATGTGTCACACACTGAGTGGGTACACTAAGAAATATTCACTAGTTGTTGAGACTTTGTTAGGTAGTCTTGGTTACAGTCATTGGATAGCTTTTAGTTGTCATTGGATAATTTTAGTTTTTTTGGCTTGGATAAGATTTGTAATATCTCAAATTCATAGTTGTACCCGAGGATTTGTTTTGAGAACACAATTCAAAACATACATCGGTGACATTGTTGTTATGGAAATATAACAAATATAATTGTTATCTCTGATTTTATATGATTACAATAACTATTACATTTTCCTGCTATATAGTTATGTTTTTCTTGGATGTTAAAAACTGTTGACTTTCTCCAGGACTTTGTAATGTATTTAAACTGTAGCAACTAATTATTGTGAATTATCCACTCCATGCTCATGATTGGTCAATTTAGTTGAACGATGCACTGAGGAAAAGCATCTAATTACTTGCAAGAGAATTTACCATTCAACCAATTTTATTTATGATTTCATGTGTCAAACATTTCAAATTGATGTTGAGGTAATTAATTTTATAAGTTATTCTTAAAACATAATTTATGTTGAAGAGCATCATGGGATATTGTCATTTTAGGGTAGCATTACTGGTAGGGTTTCATGTATGATTTGTTAGCATGGCACAGTGGTGTAATGTGACTGTTACTCTCAATTTTAAAGGGGAACCGCTCAATCCCAGGGATTGCACCAAAGAATCATGGACACTATTGTTTATGTTGTTTACAATGTTAATCTATCTTTTGTTATCCATTGTTATTTTAATCCAGAAAGTAAGTTTGTTGTGAAATTAATCTTAACTGGGAGGTGCCCCTTTAATATTTTGAAAAACAAAGTTCACTACAATATTCTACTTGCCTTTTTTGTTGATTATGAAGTCGTTCATATCACAAGCAAACTACTTCAATATAAGTCGCTTCCTTACTTTATAAGGAAATTAAAGGAACAATATTTTTGGTTTCATTTTTTGTTATCCATTTTATTCAGTGATATGCAGCATGGTTTTGAAATGCGCTAATCAGCTCATCTGTCCTACAAATTCATTGATTTTTTAAGTCAAAAAGCTAATGAAAATAATATCAATGAACAGAACATTGACTGTTATTTATAATTACCAGAAAAACTAATTTTTCAGTCCACGGCATTGTAAATCCTGCAATATATCTTGTCACACACGCATAACTTAAACAGCCTCATGTGGCGATTGCTGCCTATTTGAAAGTGGAGAAGAGTTATCTCAAACAGATGCACATTAATTTTTTGCTTCTCAGAATGCTCAATTCAATCAAAGTTGCAATTTTCAGAACATGTGACTGAATTTGCTGGCCTTGGAAGAGAAATATTTTTTATTTAGCGTTCATTTTCTGGATGTTTTATAATGAAATTATGATGACACTTTTGGATGAATAATTTAGTATCTCATTTCATACAGGTGCTAACACCTGATTTACTTTTCGAGCTTTCTGGACTTTAATATAAGTTGCTTCCTCTCTTTGTGTTTTACATTTTAAATTAGGTTTCAGCCTTATAATTAGACATTTTACTGTATTTTATGGTTCATTTGTGTCACAGCTCAAACTCTTTATTTTAGCTAGAATTAATTTTCGCTGAAAAGACTTTTTGGGTGTTTTGTATGGAATTTATTTTTGATGAACTGATTGTAAAATATAGGAAAAAAAAGTATATTCGCTAGATTTTATTTACACTCAATAATTCCTTCAGCAAAAATAGTGAAAACAAATTGTAAGTATTTTACAGTAAACAAGACATGAAATATAAGTGATACGATAATCTTTCCAAGCAGTAACTAACTCTCATACATTGTAGTTGTCATAGTTACTACACAAGTAGGAAAAAAGACAAAACTATAGTAACATTTAATTAGAATCTTTTACACAGCGAGTCACAGCGATTTTTTACATCACTTCCACAAATTCACTCATGTTTAAATTGCAAAAAAATGATAGTGGTTAAAAAATGAATATTAAAGTATTTAGATATTACATTTCAATTCAATTTGTAAACTTTAATATTCTGTTTAACAAAACTAAAAAATGTTGAGTAAGTGAGGGTTAAAAAAATACCAGGACTTTGAAGCCAACTATCATTTGTCACAATTTCAGTTTTCCGTCTTTTTCACAGGTCTATACGGCAACGAATTAACGGGCACTGGGTATATATACATTACTTGTAGCGTATTTGATTGATTGTTATTCCTGCCTGGTGCTTTAAATCTGAGATCTTTGATTAATTAAAACTGTAGAGAGCAAACTGCTGCTGAACACAGTCTGTAGTTGGATTTTCTGTCTCATTTCAAGGGCATTTTCCTGTTCAACTACAAAGTTGTTTGTCCATTCATTTTGTTATCAACTTCCTTGTGGTATTAGTATATATATATAATGTATGTTAATAAGCTTCAATTATTCATTATTTCGGTGCCTTCAAACATTTCACATACCCGTATTGTATTTTCTTGCTAAAGATGGTTTCTTAATTCCTATTGCCCGATAGACTGCAAAGGTCACAACCTTTGACCAGATTTCATGAGTAGTGACTCACATTTTATAGTATTACTTTTACTGTTATAGCTTTGGTTGAAACATAACCTCTGGCTATTTATTTCTTTACATTGTATTGTAATCTTTTCTAGAAACAATATAGCGAGCATCCGGGTGAACTTGTTGAGTGTATGTTTTATCACTATTGATTATTAATATTATTATTAACCCATGTTGTGGACAGACTGTTCAGAAAGGGGGCTTATGTTGTATTTCTTAACATAAATATATAATTGCTTTTAAAATTTGGGGTTACTTCTTTCTGATTAATGTAGTGATATCTATTTTCCATTTTGTCAAGAATATTTCTATAATTTTAGAACAAAAACTCCCTCTTTAAAATGTCTGTCATATTTTTGAGTGGGCTGCTTTAGGGTGACTTGATTTAAAAAAAAGAATGAAACTCTGCACCTATATTTGCTAGTAATTATGTCATAGTATCAAATTCAGTAAGTTTACAGATTAGAGCAGTAGAGCAGACCAACAGGTCTCTTCTTTTATGCAAGCACTAGACATTTCACGGTGAGTGGTTCTCTGATAACAGTGAGTTTTATTCGTGAATAGTTTTCACTTACACCTCTTACCCTTAATGTCAGTGAAAAGTATAGAAAATCTTGAATCATCTTGAATAGCAGAAAGTGAAGATTCGGAGATTCAGGGGTGATCATCTTTCTGTTGTCTAATAAAATGTTGACATGATTTGCGTTTATATTCCACAAAATACCATATGGTTTGAGTGTCCAGATAGCTATGGAGACGGTAAAAAAAATACCATTATGAAGCTGTATGGAACAGTTACATAGTAGCGTGTGGCATGCAGAATCAATCATATGAGGTCATGACCTGTGGTTGCAATCATGTGTGACGCACTGTGATGGCCATTCATTGTGTTGAATTCATACCACTTTTTTCATTGTATGTTGGGTTTTTTTGTGGAGACTCACCAGTGTAAGTTAGTCCTGTTGGACTGGGTAATAACTTCAAAGCCTTCACTCAAATAGCCTTTGTGTTATTGAGAGACGTAAGAAAAGTAGAATTGTTTCAGTAAATAGCATCTGGAAATCGTAGCAATCTTTCGGTTTTTTGGTTATTATTGATCGAGAAAGTGTTTTTACTAAAATCTGTCTAGGTACTAAGGAAAGTAAATTTAGTTCTAAATTGCCAAGTTTTCCTGAAATGTATTGTTGATCAATAAGTATGCCATATGTGGATATATTGTTGATCAATAATTATGCCATATGTGGATATATTGTTGATCAATAATTATGCCATATGTGGATATATTGTTGATCAATAATTATGCCATATGTGGAATTGACCATGTGTAATCAAGGAAGACCTTACAATAACAATACAGTAGCACCAAGGGATTTTTTATACAAAAGTGATTAAATATTACTTTAAAGTAAACAAAACTCTTTTAGTTTGTACATGTGTATAACACTTTCTTATACATGTATATGATGTAGGTGTTTCTATGTTACCTATAATTAATACATTAATATAACAGATCCCATCTGCACTATACTCAAGATTATTTGTTAATCACAATTATTCTTTTTTATCCTTTACAGTGAATGAGCCTTTGGAAGGAACCTGGGATCAAGGTCTGACTTATGAATGCAGGACGCTTCTTTTTAAAGCATTACATAACTTACTAGAAAGGTTAGTATAATTAATAGTTGCTACTAAAATGTGTACCGTATTTGCTCTATTAGTAGCACATGTTCTAATATATAAATTATGGTGGTGTTAGGTAATATTTTTGGTTTATATTTGCTTCTGTTGGAAATATGCTTCTAAAGGAACAAATATGGTACATACTTTGTGTGTCTGCAGTTTTGATGAATTTGAATATGTTGTACTTTGTTTCCTTTCCTTGCATAACCTATTTTGTTAGTAGTGCATGCACATAAGTACGGTAAATGTATGGTTCTC